CAGAGAGGAAAGAACCGATAGTTACGTGCTTCGGGTGCGGTGCGCCAGGGCGTATACGTTCGAACTGCCCGACATGTAAAGAGAAGAAACCGGTAGAAACCGTATCGAGTCCGTTCCAATCAGTATCTGCGTGTGATAATATAGATTCGCGAGTGCGTCCTGTGTTAAAAATAGAAATTTATAGTGAAATAGGTACAGTGCTTGTGGACACTGGTGCTAAGCACTCTATAGGTAGTGTTAGCTTAAGAGCTCACTTAATCAAGTATGGTCATCAATTTGAAAATGTATATGTAGAACTTAAGTTTGCTGACGGACACATGTGTGCGCAAATTGTTGAATTAGCACACGTGAGCGTAACAGTTCGAGGGGTACCGCGAGTTGTTGATTTTATTATGCTTCCCGACGCGACTGAAAGTTTATTAGGGATGAATTTTATTCAGGAGTTTGGCGTGATACTCGACTTTGATCTCGGTACGTGGTCTGTGAGACATGATAGGACTCCTCAACCTATCATTTTTGAAATTCGCTCTTTTAAACCACTTCATTGTTCATCTGTGGGTCTTCGCAGTGACGAAGGTACCCATCTGGTTCCAGATGAACGACAGCAATTATCTGACCTCCTGAATGTCTACGAGGACATTTTTACTCCGGGGGGAGGACCTACTCAATTTGCTGTGCACCGAATCGATACTGGAGATGCCGCGCCAATTGCTAGCCCGCCATACCGGGTTAATCCTGCGAAGAAAGAAGTCATGAGGAAGGAAATAGAGAAGATGTTGGAAGACGAAATCATCGAAGATGCTGAATCCGAATGGGCCTCACCTGTTGTGTTAATTCCGAAGAAGAATGGTGAGATTCGGTTTTGTGTCGATTACCGCAGATTGAATAGCGTCACCCGTACTGATAGGTATCCACTTCCGGTGATCGATGAGCTATTGAAGAGCACAAGACCAGGCTGTGTGATGTCTACGATCGATTTAAAGGCTGGATATTGGCAAACGATTGTAGCTCCAGAAGACCGACACAAAACTGCTTTTACTACACCGTTTGGAACGTTTCAATTCCGTCGCATGGCGTTTGGACTTAAAGGTGCTCCAGCTACGTTCCAGCGCTTAATAGATCGCATGAGGTCTGGATTAAAGGATATTTGCGTCTTAGCTTACCTCGATGATTTACTGATTATTTCGTCTAATGTTGCTACACACCTGAAGGATCTTGAGCAGGTCTTCGAGCGACTCCGTCTTTTTAATCTGAAAGCAAACAGAGATAAGTGTGTGTTCGTTAGAGAAAAGGTTACTTACCTGGGCCACGTAGTTACCGCAGGTGGCATCGAGCCTGATCCTGCGAAGGTTGAAGCAGTTATGAAAATGAAGCCTCCGACGAACCTGAAAGGGTTGAGGACATTCTTGCAAACTTGCGCGTGGTTCCGCAAGTTTATTCCGCAGTTTTCAGATATAGCGCGGCCC